ATTATTATTATTATTATTATTATTATTATTATTATTATTATTGTTGTTGTTGTTGTTGTTGTTGTTGTTGTTGTTATCACCCTTCCCATCTTCTTTACTACTCTCTCTTATTGGTATCATTATTATGATGATGATGATTATTCTGTTGCTTTGCATCTACACTGAGATCTTTTGAACTGAAAATAAATTCCTTGTGTGTCTAATCACACATGGCTAATAAAGTATTATATTATTTCTATTATTATGAAGATTGAAGAAATTGGGGTCTTTCAGAAGAGAAGACTGATTCTGAGACATTTTCGAATACCCACAAAGATATCACAAAGAATTCAGCAGGTTTTCTCCACTGATATTCAGCGATATTCAGACTGAAAGACTTTAGACTTGAAATGAGGAACCACATAATAGAAGTAGAGTTGTCATGTAGTTTGTACCTGTGGCCTGCTTCTTAAGGGAGCTACGTGTTTTGATGGATTTGCATAGTAGTCACATATCCTTTATAAATTCTAAGTCAGAATCTTCTATAGTGTAACAGCACTTCAGATATTTAAAGACAACAATTGTGACCTCTCCCAACCTTCTCTTCTATAAGCGGTAGAACTTTTAGCCATCTCTCTTAGGACATGGTTTTTTTAAAGAGCTGTGGTTAGAATGCAGTACTGCAGGCTACTTCTGCTGACTGCAATTTGGCAGTTTGAATCTCACCAGGCTCAAAGTTGACTCAGCCTTCCATCCTTCTGTGGTCAGTAAAATGAGGACCCAGATTGTTGGGGAAAATATGCTGACTCTGTAAACTGCTTAGAAAGAGCTGTAAAGCACTGTGAAGCTGTATATAAGTTTAAGTGCAATTCTCTGGAATTGATCTAGTTTTTCAATGTCTTTTTAAAAGTGAGTTGTGCAAAACTGAATGCAATATCTAGGTGAGTGCTGACCATTTCAGGGTATAGCAGGATAATTACCTCTACAATCTGTACTCTGAACTCTTCTTGATGCTCTTTGACATATCATTGCTTGAATTTCTAGCTCCCTCCAAATGCCTGATGCAGTTTTGCTTGACAAATATGCTAAGTAGAATTGCTCTTCTTCCATCTCTTTGATGACTGATGATCTTGATGCATAGAAATGCTTTCAAAGAAGACATTACAGGTGGTACTCGACTTATGACTGTTCATTCAGTGACATTTAAAAATTACAGTGGTTCTGAATGAAGGGACGTATAATCCCTGCTCACAATTATGGTCCCTGTGGTTCCTCGCAGTCACATGAACAAAATTTGGGTGCTTGATAATCCAACCACCTTTATGACTGATCTCAGGCATGCTGCAGCAACCTCCCCCCCCCCCAACTATCCTCATCCTTCTCTGCTGGGTCCCCTCAGGCCTTGGGTCTGCTTCCCATCCTTCTGAGCTCCACAACTGCCTCCCTATCCCCTGTCACACTTTGGTCATTTACCTTTTCTGTAGATCTCCTTCGGGAAGCAGCTGATCTGCCAAGGACCTTCCCACATGGTACCATCCTGGAAGGAGATGCCATTTTGGGAGGGCCTGCAATGAATTATTGTCACTCCAAAATGGCGCCCACTTCTGGGACAGCATCATGTAGCCTCTGTAATGTGTAGAGAAGCCGAGGAGTAGAACAGTTGGGCCTGCTTCCAAAACATGATCTCTGGGAAGCTAAGGAGGTGCTGCAGTGCAGGCCTGGGCCTGGACTAGGCTTCCCAGGGCCTTTTCCATCACTGAAGCACCATGTGCTCTGCTTAATGATTGCTGTGGGGATAACACTGATTGAGGTTGTTAAGCAAGGCAATCCATTGGTCCCTCTCTTAACGACTGTCATGACTTGCAACCGTAATGGGCAAGCTCCCTTTACAGCTACTATTCACACCTGTCATCTCAAAATAGGTTGTACTCATTTGTGACAAGATTTTCAGACAATGCTATAATAAGTCCTGTATTCAATGAAGTAAACTATTTGAACTCTCTGCAGTTCACCTTTCTATCAAATAGAATAGTGTTTCCTGCTTGAGCAGGGGGTTGGACTAGAAAACTCCCAAGGTCCCTTCCAACTCTGTTATTCTGTTCTATCAAAATGAAAATTAATCTGAAGTGGTTATAAAAAGAGCTCAAAATAAAGGTCCTTTATGACTACTAATTAATATAATTTGTAGTAAAAGGACATTCACTGACCCTGCTTCTTCATATATCTAGCTTCTTATCTAAACATTCAACTCTTTACAGGTTCCCAAGAGTGATTAAAAAACAGAACAGCAGGGTTCTTGATCACTAACCCACAATTCCCTTGCCTGTTTCTGTCTGATCTTTGCCCAGCACATCAAAAGGCAGAACACCGTATAACAGCAATGAAACAGCTGGAATAAATCAACAGGTGGGCCCAGTAACAGAGAAACATGGCCATACTTTCCAAAACAAACAACAACAATACCTTATTGAGCTTGGAAAACAAAACAGAGGCGCCACGCTGGTTGGATAAAGGCAGAGAAAGTATAACAATAATGAGGATGCCTAAGTAAGAACATCACAAATCATCCCAGCATTGAAAAACAAGATTGCAATTCAAAGTATTCCATTAATTTTTATAGTTTCCAGTTTAGGCTTTTAGTTTGTGGGCAAAAAAAAAAAAAAGCCTATTTCCCTACTGGATTCACCTCTGTAGATCTAATGAACAGGAAAGTAATAATCCTGCGCTTTTGGCTGTCAGCATGAAACGTCCCTTGAAGGTTAGTGACATATCTTTATCTAAAAACAAACTGAGCTGAATAAAATGCTTGTAATTTGCCAATATGTGTCTCAGTTCATGATTATTGTCATTAATATTACCCCAACATTGCATGAGCAATGAGCTAATGAAACTTCATTTCAAATGAGGGCCAGCAATGTTAAAATATTTTTCTACTTTGCAAATCTTTGTTTACCATGAAATATTCTGATTTATGCTGAATACACTACCTAAGCTAGATACAATATAATTGCATAGCAGAGAGAATTCAGAGCATACAATTTAGAAAATATGTTCATCCACATTTTTAGTATAAGTAACAAGTTGACTAGCATACTTACTCCAGAAATTGGGTGGCCAGAAGTTTTCCTGACTTGTGCTGTTATCCATCGCATTCAATGTGGACAAAGAAAGTAATTTTAAGAATAAATCGGGAGTATATTAGAATTTTGATTTGTGAAAACAAAAATACCGTTACACATTCCCTAAACTTGTTCTGTTTTCATGAAAGGAAATCAGTGTATCAGATTTCCTGCTTTTATACTCAAATTAGCAACCGTTTCCCTTATCTTGCATTGCCACATGTTTCCTGAAAAAGGGAACAATTTCCTTCTCGTCATTTCCTTGGCTAGTCAGTGTTTCAAGCTTGAACAGTATCTCAATCTTTTGTGTTCAGCTTGTTGTTGGATCCAGCTCATCTCTAAGAGAAGCAGAAAGGTTTCCATCCCTTCTCCAGAATATTTCTATAAATGGAGCGGTTCATCGTGCATTCTGAAATCGTCAAAAGGACACATGGGATTTACTGTTTTCTTCATGACGATGGAGCCATTTAAAAACTTTGTCTGGTGTTGTGCTTACCTTATTTTTGATTGCATTTTCCTTTAGATTGGGTCCCTAATAAGATAGCTCTTCTTGTTATTTTGTTTTGCTTTGGGTTTTTTTCCCCCTAATTGTTGTAATAGGACAGTTTAAGTGCTGGTGCATTTTATTTTGATATTAATTATGTAAGTCCCCACTTGAGAGTTGAGATCAGCTTCAAAATATTCCGACATATATAATATTTTAATTAAAAATAAAGACAAAATCATTCCATGTGCATTTTTTAGTAATGAATTTATTTACCTCATTTTCCCATCAACAGCTGGCATTAAAAATGCTCACCAAGCACTAAAATGCAATTTATAATGCAATTAAATTTACAACCATCATTTTAAAAAACAATAAACATTCAAACACGAGAAAGACTACTTTGTAGGAAAGAAATAGGCTAAGAAGCTCTAAAAACCTATCAGAAATATTCACATTTTAGCTAGACACTGTCTGATTATTTATTATTTACTTCTTGTCTCACATTTCTTTATTCAACAGGTAAACTGAAGACTTCTTTTGCAAAAGTGTAAGTAATATATGTGAAAGCTTGCAAGTACTAAGTCTTTCTTCATCAGAACTCATGTTTCTCTTCCATCTCTTTATGGGGTGAAAACAAAGCAGAGTAAGCTAACATTGTCTAACCAACAATTAGAAAATGTTAAACTGTTGTTTAATACCAACAATCAGAGTTAAGTTTTCCTTTTTGCTTCTTTCTAAAAAAAAAAAAAAAACCCTGAGAAATTCTGGTCTGGTCTGCAGATGAACCCAGATTCATAGAAAAGATCAAAGGTGATTTTGTTCCACTTTATCTTTTTCCTTTAATTAAAAAAATGCATTATAGAGAATAGTTTCTTGGTCACTTTGCAAGCTCCTTCCATGAAGCATGCACATATTTATGGTAACTACTATCATTTTACGAATAATTGTATGGATTTTGCTTTACATCCATTGTCTCTTTCTCAGTTGCCAAGTGCTGCAGCTGATCACATTATTAATGTTCAATCTCTTTAGATAAAACAAGTGAGGCAATTGAAATGAATAGTTTAGAGAGAAAAGCATCAAATGGGTATTGCTAAGTGAGGACATCATACCTGCAAACAAATCAGAAGAATCAAATGTGTTGGTCTGTAAATGTGGGTGTAAGAAACTAATGTCATTATCGTATTTCCCTTTTAAATTCAGTGTAGAGGAGGTACAATGGAAGTTGTACCAAGAGTAGCATCTTCTGGCGTACAACCATAGTTGCACCATGAATTTTTAGTTACACAGATGCAAAAGTCTTAGTATTATTCTGGAATACACTTCTATAGTTCTCTGATGATGATATGTTTGTGTTTGCTTGTTTATTATTTTACCGTTGCAGTCAAACAAAGCTGTGAGATGTTAAAGCAACCCAGAAAGCACAGGTTTTCTGGGATTCTTGGCATTCATTTCAGTAACTCACAGAGCAGGCCCATCGAATGATCTTTGGACAGCCAGGAAGAAATTACTGACTCTATTTTAAAGTCATTCTGCAACCCAGGGTTTCTCACCCTTGGCTGGCTGGGGAATACTGGGAGTTGAAGTCCACACATCCTAAACTTGCCAGCTTTTCTCCCTGGCCAAACTGAATATGTGGGAAAATCCTATTCAATGATAAACATACTTACTGTAAAGGTTAGGTCCCCATGAACTTGTAGAGCAAAATAGATATTGTAAATAAATTGGCAGCACATTGGTATGCTTAGGAGCCCACTGATTTTTTCAGTCAGGCTTTTCTACCTTTCCAGGGAAAATATATAGAAAAATCCTATTGGAAGGTAAACCCATTTAAAGTTAGGGTTAGGTTTCTGTGAACTCGGAGAGAAAAAATGGATGTCATCAAGGAATTCGAAGCACATGGATATGCATAGGAGGGGGCTACGTTTTTCAGCGCATCTTTTCTACCTGTCGATGTTACATGGGAAAATCCCAGTGGCATGTAAAGCCAATTAGGGTTAGGGTTAGGTCTCCATGAATTTAGAGAGCAAAATTGATGTCACCAATGAAATCACCGCACATCTGTATTCTTAGAAGGGGGCTGAGATTTTTAGTCCAGATTTTCTCCCTGTCCAAGTTATGAGAAAATCCAATTGGACGATAATCCTCCTTAGGTTTATGGTTAGATCCCCATGAACTTGGAGAGCAAAATGCATGTTGCCAAGGAATTTGAAGCACATCAGTATGCTTAGGAGAGGGATGAGTTTTTCAGCCCACCCTCGCAGCCTCCAGGCACTGCAAAAGAACATCAACAGCATCATTCACTTCATCCAGAATGGAGATGTATACCTGGCTATCACATTGGACAACAATTTTGACTTATCTCTTTCCCAAATCATAAGCTTAACTTTGTCAGATCAAATCATGGAATGAACCTAAACCAATGGGGTGAAAGACAGAGTTTGATGTTTTCATCAGACACAGGGGAAAATCCATCAAATTCCTACAGTTCCTGTGAAGGATGAAATTTCTGAATGTTCTGTTTTATGTAGTAAGAACTTGCTTCCTGCTTTGCTCAGTACACTGAGCAATATTTTTTATCTATTTATGTCAGATTTTGACAGTTTTTCTGAGTTGTGCTACTTCCCAGTTTCCAAATGGCTATGCAACATTTTAGAAATAATTCAAAAAATATGCTTTGGATTCCAAATATAACACTTATCTATAAATCTTTGAAGCAGCCACATCTTTTTCTGCACAATATCACAAAAAGACATGCTATATTTACGCTTCCACTTAGAATGAGTTGCCTTTTCTAAATTATTTCCTAAGCAATACATAACTTTACTTTTATTTCAAATTCTTGACTTTTAACAAAGCAGGATTAGAATTTAATTGGGCTTTGAAAACACAGTCCCAAAACTAGATTGAGTTATGATTTATTTACAAAAACTGTTATACTATTTATTCAAAACTTGGGACAGCATACATGAAAGATATATTGCAAGAGTAATCATACCATTAAAACAATCCTTCTAATCCTTATTAGTGGTAAGTGTCTTCTTCAACCTCAGATCTACTTTTTTGAGCTATGGTGGCATAGTGGTTAGAGTGGAGTATTGCATGTTAACTCTGCTCATAGTTCAATCCAGACTGGCTGAAGGATGTTCCATTCTGCTATAAGAAAACCCAATCTCCTGCCCACCCACACGCCGGAACATGATGAAACTAATCAGTAAATTAGACAGTTGGAATGTTGTAAATAATTTCAATTGTGTAAAAAACTAGCATAGGAAATTTTGAGTTACCCATTCTTAACCCCCCCCCCTTTAAATAAAGTAACTAATAACTTCGTTGTTTTGTGACAAAATGTGAAGTAATTTTGAGCAATGGTCATTTCTATAATGGTGGAAGCATTCCAAATATCAAGCAGGTAAGGTAATTGAGTTTTGTTTAAAAAGACAAAATGTTTATTTGATAGAATATCAGCCTGAATCAAGTGAAACAAATTATTGGGAGTTGAGATGGAACTAATAATAACAAGATCTCTATTTCATCAAATCAATAGTTAGTTATCAATATTACTGAATGCAGTGGCATTTTCTTCCATTGGGTCTTCAGAACATTTATTTCAAATCAAATGTATAACTGAAAGCCACTCAGAGTCCCCTTGTAGAGGAGATGGGTGGCATAAAAATTTAATCAACAAATAACTAAAAAATGTCTACATGTATTTATTTTCAGGTAACTTCAATTTCTAGGTAGAGTTGTTATATAATGAGCTCACTATTGTCCAGAAGGTGGCAATATATTGCTATTTTTCATTTTAAGATTCAGAATCTATAACCTTCAGCGCAGCAAATATTTTTTACACATCTTGGAACAGCTGATGTTTCAGTTGATGACTTGCTACATATGGTTTATCTGGTAATGTGAGATATGTAGTGCAAAACATGTTATTTACAGCCAGCCACCATTATCCTTTTTTCTGTGAATTATTTACTGTTATTTATATTGATTTTATAGCCATCTTGCCATTGCAACTCCATCAGTGGTGGGTTTCTAATTTTTTTACTACCGGTTTGCTTGTGCAGCCGTGTGAGTGTTCACACGCACATGTGACACTTCTGCGCATGCGCAGAAGCCTCCAGGAGGGTGGGCGGAGCCTTCCACCACCGCTCCTACCCTTTCAGCCAATCCAGGCCAAACTGGGAGCAACCCACCTCTGAGCTCCATGTATTGAACATACCAGAGGTGGGTTGCTTCTGGTTTGGCCCAGATCAGGCGAACCTGTAGTAGCACTGGCGGGAGGCTCCACTCACCTCTCTGGACACTTCTGTGCATGCGCAGAAGTGTTGCACGCAAATACAAGCGCCTGAACCAGTAGTAGAAAAATTGGCAACTCACCTCTGGAACATAGGATTAAAACCTACAAACAACAAAAGCAAAACATATGTATGTGTGAGAGAGATATTAAAATGTTAGCTTAGAATATCGCAAATGAAATGCAAGAATAAAAACTACAACATTTTAAACCACAGTCTAATTTTTCTATTTCTCTTTTATACCTGTGCGCAGAGAGCAATGGCTTTGAGGGAAATATTTAGAAAGAGATACTTTTTTTTAAAGGGCAGGAACATTCCTTAAGCCT